AAAAAATTAGCTTCTGTGTTATATCAATTTATTCCTCCAACGCCCAACATCACGGCCACTAGTGTAGGTAAAATGTAAAATGCGTCGTTTTACATTGTTCATCATAATACATATAGAAGATTTTACAGGAGTTTCCATTTCCATGGAAAGAATTCAAGATTCTGTTAACCAAGTAACCAAGATTTTTTGGCAAATATTCGTGAAAGCAATATTTTTCAGACAAGGGAAATGACACTTTTTAACGTTGACCTCTATTTGTGACCTTGACCTTTAGAGTGTCGGAACTTTTATTCGCCAGTGTTAATTCAAGTGTATATGGAACTTCGTGAAATTTCTGTGACTGTAAGTGGAACATTTTATATTTTCTCTCTAATGATAACCTGGCTTTACATGCGGTATTCGATGTCAAAAGGAAAACCAGTCACATAGTAGTCCCCTAAAACTCCACAGCATGACAATTAACTTTAACATACGGTATACTGAACGCGTTTCGTCTATAGACAATAAATGTTACGTCTTCTGAATTTTATTTGTTTGTTGTTTTTATCAAAATTGGCAAAATTTCCAGTTCTACATTGTTCACACTTTGAGCTGTATAGAAAACATGGAGTATGCATGTCTTTTAGACCTCTTGTTTTGTGCGGAATACTGCCAATGTTCGTTCTGCCATATCGATCGCAGATAAGAAGTTTTAACAACTCCATTCAGAAGTATACCTATATGTGCCACCAGGTATTAATTAATTAAGGTGTAATCTGTGGGTATTGTAGAGGTATACACCCGTGCAACTATTACTGTACACCCGTTAGCCAGACCGTCGGGCTGGGTTGTTCTCACTCTCCAAACATTAATATCCTCTCCAAATTATACACTCCGAACCCGAGGTGTCACAAATATCGAAGTTACAAAGATTTTCATTCCATGAGTACATTGTACTTCGTCATTTTATCAGATATAGCTTTAGTGCGTACATTTAAATAGGGTAACAAACAAGTGTAAAACAAAATGCAGTGATTGTAACAGTATTTGTTGAAAATATTTCAACGCTCGCTAAGTGAATGATCTATTCCCGATATTTACATTCTGTTCAGTTTAACCTTTTTGTATGTGCGACAAGTAAAACTAACGGGGATTAACTATTTAACTAATGGAACAATCTGACTGGAGATTAAAGGCTGGTCGTTAGGGACAACCCTCAACAATGAGATTAGATTAACAGATTAATTATGTACCCGTTCGTGAAATCTATATACGGTTTTAAGGAATAGTAACATTATTTTATAACGGGACATACACAAAAGGATTAGAGGGAATTTGAATTACTCTTTTTTCTCTTGGACAAATTTTGATCTAAACTTTAAACATGGAATCCACGGAGGAAAGGAAACGGCGTATTTATGGTCCGATTCGGAACCTCCAGGTGGAGGAGATCCGGACTCGCCTGTCCAAGAGTTGTGTTTTGAAGCCGGGGGAATATAATTACACCGACGATAAACTGAAGGCAGTCAATTATGGTACTAGTTACGACACCGACTTCTCCGTGAGTATACCATCAACACCCTGCTTCTACAATTATCTTAAGTACCCAGTAGAGATATATCGAACACCCGTTCACTCTGAACAATCAAGTATTATTATGGTCCTTTATGATTTATAAGATATATGTTCAATAATATTAATGATAAATCATAATATATGATTATAAACTTAATCCGAAATAATAAAAATGCATATTTTTTCAATGTACTATAAAAATCGGCATAAATGTATGGACATTTCACAAAATGGCGGGAGGGGGAGGGTTACGAAGGAGGCCTTCCTTTACAATTCATACAACGTCTTAAGTCATTTTAAAGCTAGTTGTCTTCGTCTTCTCATAGATTCATAATTCACTGTTAAAAATGACGAGTGAGGACTTTACGCGACCCGATCACATCATACTTATCCCTTTGTATCATTGTTAAAATACTATTACATGTGTCATGGCAGATCGGTGTCATTGTATTTAATATTCAAGAATTAAAAAATACCCAAAGACTTAATTAATACTTAATTGACAAAATGTCACTCTCATCAGACAGAAAACATATGAAACGTCGGAACATATTCGCACACCCTGCCGATGATACTGGATAAGAAGCAGCTTGTACACGAATTACGCTTTCAATACGACAAAGGAATAGTACCGTAGGTCAACAATGTGTCAATTAAAATTGCCACATAACAAAAGTGCAGCACACACGACGCCAGAGCAAACATCACAAGACCCTGAAGGTTTGGCATTTCTAAGGGTAATTTCTGGTGTTCAATAAAGCAGGTATATTTGTCCAATAGCTTAGTAAAACAACGGTTACTCTGTACTGGAACTGCATTAAAGGACTGTATAGGCAATTATTGAGATCAACCTGACTTCTGACGAAGTGTTCAGAACCGCTTCTTTCAAGAGATAGGAGGCAAATCACATTATTTGTTCCAATGTACAGATCAAAACTATTCAAACAATGTAAAAACAGAGTAATAAAAGGGGACAAAATGTATGACATTTTATAATCACATGGTGTGTCTTATACAAATCCACACACAATACGGCAGATACTTGGTCTGCTTGTAAACCTGTTAATTTAGTAGGGCAAGTCGTAGATTTGGCGTTTTTGTTATTTCTTGTCATACAGTGGAGAGAAGATTCACGGTATAAGTATTCGACTTGGCAAAAATAAATCATTTGAAATTTCACAGATGTATATGATATTACTCATTGAGTGTCCATCTCAATGCTTCTTGTAGTTGGTTGGTTGGTTGTGGGGAGGGAGAAGCATTACATCAATACAAATGCATCTTATCTAACAGTTAATGGTACAGATATTAATATAAATATATGTACCAATATATATCCTAAAATCATTGACACACAAGTAAAATACAAAATCAATTTGATAGTACGTACTAGTATGACACCCCCCTACAGGTCGGGGAGTAAGAAAGCACCTACCTCTGTTACTCACTGCATGCTGACAGAGGCCACTGATGTTGGAACCCCCTGCAAAATTGGGTATTTGTTTTTGTGTCATAACACATGGCGACAAATTAACGACCACAATTAATCTGCTGCACCCGTTGAATAATTTGGGATCTTTATATTTTCTCTCTACCTCCTAACAACCTGTATGCTTCTGGGCGCCTTGCTTGGAAAGAACGTTCGCCAAGTCATGTGAGTGGGGAAGGCAGTGGTTCTGTCTCCAGGTCGGGACATACCAAAGTCAATAATAATGGTACATTTGCAGTTGTTATTCCCTGCTAAATGTCCAACAATTGGGGAAATCGTCTCTAAAGGCGGCACCACATCTCATCGCAAATACTTCCTCCAGCAACACATTAAATTCATGGAGACATGTCCTTAAATGACCTAAGCTATTAACTGGGCACCAAAACCAACAAAAGAAAAACCGGTACAGCAGTAATAGTAACACATGACGATACACACACCATATCAGCAGTAATTCACAAAAGGACCGTGCATGGTGCATCATTGGTACAGCTGAATGTAGCACATCCATGGGCGTAGCCTGGGAAGGCTGGGTGGGGCTGTTTGCGCGTTGAAAGGGGTATACATTTTTATTTTAAAAATTCTGTCTTTCCGAAACTCTGCCTCCTCCTCCTTTTAACTATTTAATGCAGCCCATCTGAATAATATGATCTTAACAACACCTCGCATGGTCTTTGTCCGACATAGTGTAATGGTTAATCCAAATAACAGGGGCAAGGCACACGTCCCTGTGATCCAAACTTTATTACATCATAATACGATTCTAAACTACTCATTTCCTGCCGATACATATCGATAGAAGGACCCATGTTTGTAAGTTTGCTGTAAACTTTATTGTGTTAATTGTTTTATTCTTCAGGGCGCCATTCCAGACCCAAGTAACAAACAAGAACAGAAAGGGCAGGTAAGACCGTCCAAACGTCAGGCCACACAACATTCAGGTTTCAAGCAAGCAACCAAAAACCCACGTAATCTGTTGCATCGAAGCGCCAAATACTACAAGCCCGTTATATATTGCTGAAAATGTCTTAAGCTCCATATCCAGCCGAGCCTCTGACATACATTTGCGTAATTAACACATCCAGCCGAGCTTGTGACATACTTTGTGTCTTGAATGCTCAGCATCAGAATAAATGTAGAAGAAAAAGGCTCATAATGTTGCCAGAAATAAAGCCAGGAAGTAATTAAGTGCCTACGTAAAATTGGTTAATACAGCGCAGCTACCGCGGCGTTTTGACAGACTTTCAATCTATTGTCGATCTTTTATTAGAACAGTTGTAGTTCTGACTCGTGCTGAATTTGCCCAATACATTGTATATGGATCTGGGTTTGTGTTACAGTTGACACACCATTTTGAGCTGGGTAATGACAGTGGTGCTAATGTAGACGTAAAAACCTACCAAGACAGTACAACAAAGACCGACTTCCAGGAAAAGCCATGGTGCAAGGTAAACCTTCAATATTATGTCACAAATCGCAAAGCCCTCTGTACACCAAACCATCTTCATACCGGCAACGAATATTGAACAACAAACCTTTGAATATCAAGCCATTACCCCTCTTTTCCACAATTTACAGAGTATAACAAAAGTAAATGTGATTCTCGTTCCATTCCATAACTATTTAAAACGTTGCCAAATACAATACATTTGTGTCGGGGAAGGGTGAAGGTCTTCCAAGTGGACAACTACGTAAGGCATCACTACAAAGTTTGAACACGGAATTAGATGCTTTCTAAGTCCGTGGTTTTAACTATTAAAATCATATAATTATTTCTATGGAAGACATTGTCACAATATTTGGAAAAATAGTTGAGGTTGGTTTTCTCTGCATACCAAAACTTACGTGAGGCAATATTTACAACAAACGTTAGAAAGGTGTTGTCTGTCCATTAACAAAAAGACATTGCCACACACTATGATGTATTAGATAAAGGGAAACCTGTCTCACACCAAAACTCACTAGTAACAGTACGACAGCATAGGATAAGGTCTCACACCACAACTCACTAGTAACAGTACGACAGCTCGGATAAGGTCTCACACCACAACTCACTAGTAACAGTATGACAGAATAGGATAAGGTCTCACACTACAACTCACTAGTAACAGTATGACAGCATAGTATAAGGTCTCACACCAAAACTCACTAGTAACAGTATGACAGCATAGTATAAGGTCTCACACAATAACTCATTAGTAACAGTATGACAGAATAGGATAAGGTCTCACACCACAACTCATTAGTAACAGTATGACAGCATAGGATAAGGTATCACACCACAACTCCCTAGTAAGTAACAGTACGACAGCATAGGATAATTAAGGTCTCACACCACAACTCATTAGTAACAGTATGACAGAATAGGATAAGGTCTCACACCACAACTCATTAGTAACAGTATGACAGCATAGTATAAGGTCTCACACAACAACTCACTAGTAACAGTACGACAGCATAGGATGAGGTCTCGCACCACAACTCACTAGTAACAGTACGACAGCATAGTATAAGGTCTAACACCACAACTCACTAGTAACAGTATGACAGAATAGGATAAGGTCTCACACCACAACTCACTAGAAACAGTACGACAGCATAGTATAAGGTCTCACACAACAACTCACTAGTAACAGTACGACAGCTAGGATAAGGTCTCACACCACAACTCATTAGTAACAGTATGACAGCATAGTATAAGGTCTCACACCATAACTCACTAGTAACAGTACAACAGCATAGTATAAGGTCTCACACCATAACTCACTAGTAACAGTACAACAGCATAGTATAAGGTCTCACACCACATCTCACTAGTAACAGTACGGCAGCATAGGCTAAGGTCTCACACCACAACTCACTATTAACAGTACGACAGCATAGTATAAGGTAGCACACCACAACTCACTAGTAACAGTACGACAGCATATTATAAGGTCTCACACCATAACTCACTAGTAACAGTACGACAGCTTAGGATAAGGTATCACACCACAACTCACTAGTAACAGTACGACAGCATAGTATAAGGTAGCACACCACAACTCACTAGTAACAGTACGGCAGCATAGGCTAAGGTCTCACACCACAACTCACTAGAAACAGTACGACAGCATAGGATAAGGTCTCACACCACAACTCACTAGAAACAGTACGACAGCATAGTATAAGGTCTCACACCATAACTCACTAGTAACAGTACAACAGCATAGTATAAGGTCTCACACCATAACTCACTAGTAACAGTACGACAGCATAGTATAAGGTCTCACACCATAACTCACTAGTAACAGTACAACAGCATAGTATAAGGTCTCACACCACAACTCACTAGTAACAGTACCACAGCATAGGATAGGGTCTCACACCACAACTCACTAGTAACAGTACGGCAGCATAGGATAAGGTCTCACACCACAACTCACTAGTAACAGTACGACAGCATAGGATAAGGTATCACACCACACCTCACTAGTAACAGTACGACAGCTTAGGATAAGGTATCACACCACAACTCACTAGTAACGGTACGACAGCATAGTATAAGGTAGCACCCCACACCTCACTAGTAACAGTTTGACAGCATAGTATAAGGTCTCACACCTCAACTCATTAGTAACAGTATGACAGCATAGGATAAGTTATCCCACCACAACTCATTAGTAACATTACGACAGCATAGTATAAGGTCTTACACCACAACTCACTAGTAACAGTATGACAGCATAGGATAAGGTATCACACCACAACTCATTAGTAACATTACGACAGCATAGTATAAGGTATCACACCACAACTCACTAGTAACAGTACGACAGCATAGGATAAGGTCTCACACCACAACTCATTAGTAACAGTATGACAGCATAGTATAAGGTATCACACCACAACTCATTAGTAACAGTACGACAGCAAAGTATAAGGTATCACACCACAACTCACTAGTAACAGTATGACAGCATAGGATAAGGTCTCACACCACAACTCACTAGTAACAGTACGACAGCATAGGATAAGGTCTCCACCAAATGGTATACTTACTTAGGGTAGTTAGGGAAATCAATACAACAGGGTGTTATTACCCCACTAAAACACACAATTAAATATTCATGGAAATAACACACAATTATGTATGAATGCATACCTTACCACAGTGACCATCATACGGTTACAGTTATCTTATAGCATAACAAGGCGAATGTGCATTAATCAATCATAACCAACCTGCAACATGTATTTCAATTTTCCTGTGTTTCAGTTGGAGATGGTCGAGGGCGACAAAAATATAAACTGGCCGGTAAGTACTGCGATAACGAGTTGTATTTGGGGTCACTGTATTACACAAAAGGTCATTTTACCATAACTTTTTCATTTATTCAAAGTCGTTAGGTCCGAATATTTTGAAACGTAATAATAAAATGAAAATGTGTCTTGTAATTTTCAGGATATGGCACCTAGATATATGACCAGTAGAAAGACGGAGAATTCTGAATATGCTTCCAACTACAACCCCGGGGTAAGTTCTGAAAGGTCAGACTAATGAAGTTCATGGAAGCATGACTACATCTTTATGGTTAATTTGGTATATAAACCATTATTTTCTTTATATTTATATTTGTCTACTCAGGTATAATGTTTTTGTAATGTTTGAAAATGCATTCATGATTTGACCAACTTGAAATCGGCCATATGATAAACTCTCTGGAAATAGGAAAATAACATCAGATTTCAAGGGGTTATTTTAGGTCAAATGTCATAGGTCAATGACACGGATGTGATTAAGTAAAGACATGGCCAACAACACATACATGAGATTAATCTGTTGGAGCATGAGATTTGCTCTTGACAGTTTTGATTGGCAATACCTATAATTTAGATCCGGAATCAACACATTCCACAGAATACCCATATAAGACTAGTGTTATAATCTTGAATTTTTTTAAGGTCAAACAAGTAAGGCTGATGTTAATTACAAGAGTGTACTAAAAAATAATTGGTTTCCATCCATATTCCCCTGTTTCTATTTATGGAGAACAGGGAGTCATACTAATGCATCTTATTTAGATTGAGAGGTCTCCATTGATTTTCGTGTTTGTGGATCTTAAATTCCTGTGAACAAGATCATCTTCATTCATTTTTGGATATACTAGAAAGTGTTGAAGTCTGAATTGAAATTAGACTAAGTTTCACAATAGTCAAAAATGTTTAGGGCACTCTTAACTTTGAGGATGAATTGATAACTGTATATATAATATATAATAATACAAAAAACAATGAAACTATCCCTGATGGAGATAGACTTCAGATTTTATATTTAAAACTGCATTTTCATGAATAATAAATTCAACTTTAAGGAAATTAGAAAGAAATTAAGGAGCTGCTCAGATAAACGGCAGACTACAAACTTGAGGCCTTATCGTGTTCACCACAATTGTACAGGATATTGAAATTTCAACTGAAGCCCTATTTTTATGATACAATTATATTACACTGATTTGTTCCCTCACCATCAAAGCTAGAGAAGTCATCCGGTAAAGCAGCACTGTTCCCTCGACTGAATACCTCCAAGATGCAGCTTCCCATTGACCAGACACGCTTTAAGAGACATCGTGGCACCAATATCACGCTTGGCAGTGACAACCCTAGGTAACTCTCATTGCCAGTCTACACCCAGATAGTCCTACTATATATACATGTACTAATATCACGTTTGGCAGTGACAACCCTAGGTAACTCTCATTGCCAGTCTACACCCAGATACTTCTACTATATATACATGTACTAATATCACGTTTGGCAGTGACAACCCTAGGTAACTCTCATTGCCAGTCTACACCCAGATAGTCCTACTATATATACATGTACTAATATCACGTTTGGCAGTGACAACCCTAGGTAACTCTCATTGCCAGTCTACACCCAGATAGTCCTACTATATATACATGTACTAATATCACGTTTGGCAGTGACAACCCTAGGTAACTCTCATTGCCAGTCTACACCCAGATAGTCCTACTATATATACATGTACTAATATCACGTTTGGCAGTGACAACCCTAGGTAACTCTCATTGCCAGTCTACACCCAGATAGTCCTACTATATATACATGTACTAATATCACGTTTGGCAGTGACAACCCTAGGTAACTCTCATTGCCAGTCTACACCCAGATAGTCCTACTATATATACATGTACTAATATCACGTTTGGCAGTGACAACCCTAGGTAACTCTCATTGCCAGTCTACACCCAGATAGTCCTACTATATATACATGTACTAATATCACGTTTGGCAGTGACAACCCTAGGTAACTCTCATTGCCAGTCTACACCCAGATAGTCCTACTATATATACATGTACTAATATCACGTTTGGCAGTGACAACCCTAGGTAACTCTCATTGCCAGTCTACACCCAGATAGTCCTACTATATATACATGTACTAATATCACGTTTGGCAGTGACAACCCTAGGTAACTCTCATTGCCAGTCTACACCCAGATAGTCCTACTATATATACATGTACTAATATCACGTTTGGCAGTGACAACCCTAGGTAACTCTCATTGCCAGTCTACACCCAGATAGTCCTACTATATATACATGTACTAATATCACGTTTGGCAGTGACAACCCTAGGTAACTCTCATTGCCAGTCTACACCCAGATAGTCCTACTATATATACATGTACTAATATCACGTTTGGCAGTGACAACCCTAGGTAACTCTCATTGCCAGTCTACACCCAGATAGTCCTACTATATATACATGTACTAATATCACGTTTGGCAGTGACAACCCTAGGTAACTCTCATTGCCAGTCTACACCCAGATAGTCCTACTATATATACATGTACTAATATCACGTTTGGCAGTGACAACCCTAGGTAACTCTCATTGCCAGTCTACACCCAGATAGTCCTACTATATATACATGTACTAATATCACGTTTGGCAGTGACAACCCTAGGTAACTCTCATTGCCAGTCTACACCCAGATAGTCCTACTATATATACATGTACTAATATCACGTTTGGCAGTGACAACCCTAGGTAACTCTCATTGCCAGTCTACACCCAGATAGTCCTACTATATATACATGTACTAATATCACGTTTGGCAGTGACAACCCTAGGTAACTCTCATTGCCAGTCTACACCCAGATAGTCCTACTATATATACATGTACTAATATCACGTTTGGCAGTGACAACCCTAGGTAACTCTCATTGCCAGTCTACACCCAGATAGTCCTACTATATATACATGTACTAATATCACGTTTGGCAGTGACAACCCTAGGTAACTCTCATTGCCAGTCTACACCCAGATAGTCCTACTATATATACATGTACTAATATCACGTTTGGCAGTGACAACCCTAGGTAACTCTCATTGCCAGTCTACACCCAGATAGTCCTACTATATATACATGTACTAATATCACGTTTGGCAGTGACAACCCTAGGTAACTCTCATTGCCAGTCTACACCCAGATAGTCCTACTATATATACATGTACTAATATCACGTTTGGCAGTGACAACCCTAGGTAACTCTCATTGCCAGTCTACACCCAGATACTTCTACTATATATACATGTACTAATATCACGTTTAGCAGTGCCAACCCTAGGTAACTCTCATTGCCAGTCTGCACCCAGATACTTCTACTATATATACATGAACTAATATCACGTTTCTATGAGAGTGACACTAGAGGTAATAAGAAGAAATCAGAAATATATAATTTGAAAAATAGAATATTTTCTGAAGACCTGTTGTATCCTACTGCATGCTGAACAAGGGTAACTAATGTTGGGGAAGGGGAGGGGGTCTGAAGAATTGAGGGGGGGAGGGGTTACCTTGGTGTTTTCTCTTTGAGAACATTATAAAGAGACCAAACTTGATATGCTGCCCTCATTGCAACATTGGGATCTATTTATAATTTTTTCTCTCTCAATTTTTTACTTTCGATGGCGTCTCCCTAGGCACCTGTCTTCATATGTGACCTTGCGAGGTCATAAAAAAACCAAACAAATTCTTAACTCTATACAATGTATAAGGGAGATAACTCTAACATCAATCCCAGGTGTAAGGTAGCTTATGTCCTTACCTCTAAAACCAATAACAGGTAAAATGTGAAAGGTGGAATATATTATTCATGTCAGAAGCTTGTCTAAATAGATCACCTCATCTCAGAAACCTGTATAAATGGGCCACTCATTCAAGAATACATGTATCAACTACCTCCTAATAACAGACACCTGTCTATATCAACCACCTCATCACAAATATACTCTTAGCTATCTCTTCATCACAGAAAACTGTTTATGTATCCAAACTCAATTTACAAGCCCTATAAGCCAAACCCTGTCTATACAGATCTCCTCTGAAAGACAGAAACCTGTTTTTACAGACCACCATTCAATGACAAGCATATGACTATAAAAGCAAATAATTATTTAAATTGATCATGTGAGGGAGCATTTTAAAGCATGTTGTTGTTTTGATGGACAATTTTATTCCAATTTAGACCTTTAACTGCTCTTCTTAAAATCTACAAATAGTGGTACAATACCACAGCTATCACTAAACAGATATTGTTTGTCTGTAGTATATTCAGTGAGAGCCAGCGTGTGTATGGGGTGGGGGACGCGGTCCAAGGTCATTCCCTTGCCTTCTCGCCCGAGGAACAGGCTACCACCCAGGTCAGCAAAGCCATGAAGGAACTCGGCCGGACGTCTCACGTCTTCAGATACGGCGACTACGATGGAATCAGTAAGATACACCAGCAAAACATAATAAAGATGATTTCAAATTTTTTCTCATGAAAAATCTAAAATATCTTATTTTGTTACAATCATTTATTTATTTATTTATTTGTACCCGTTTGTTCAAATGAATAAAACATGTTTACAATAAAAATACATATGTATTTGGTGAAAGGTTGAAAAATACCAAAAAAATATATATGGGTGCTGATTATTTTTTTTATTTTTTTTTAATACAGCAAATATCAACCTTTGTTTAACATTTATTAAACAGGTGTATAAAATTGAAATTAACTTGTGATCAAATACTGATTATTATCACTGACTGATTCATGTGTTATCACATCCACATATACTAGACTATCTTACCAACAAATGGTGAACAATCAAGTAACGTTTTTATCAGTACTTATTTACAAGTTTACTGCTTTTGAATTTCTAACAGTTGTGGTCATACACATGGTATCAATTATTGTTCCAGAGGGTAACTACGATACGACAGTTAATGATGAGTTTGGTCCGCGGACATTACCCCCAGCAGAGACAGCTGCGCGGGCCCTAAAGGCTGCCGAGTAAGTAGACACTTGACACAGTGACCAGCCTTTGTCACACTAATAAGGGTATCTCCTACCGTTAACCCTGATATAACAACATATCTCAGGGGAGAAGGTTCTATAGGAGATCTCCATTAAAGCGTTCTCCTTCTCTACTTGAAAACCACGAACACTGATGTTTCGTCTAGCATGATTTTTATATTAATGTGTATTGTAAGTAAATTGGCTTTCTCTGTTTTCTACAATTAAGTTAAAATTTAAAAAATAAATCTGTTGTGAAATTATGTGAGCTACAAAAATGATCTTGTTCTACCTTCACTCTTTGCACAAAGACCTCATTGCTGTCTTTGTTCATATTTGGCCTCATTGTTGACATTGACATTGAGGACTTTATCATTGTCGTTGTTGTTGACTTTGACATTGAGGACTTTATCACTGACCTTGATGTTGACATTGACCTTGACAACTTTATCATTGACCTTGTTGTTGACTTTATCATTGACCTTGTTGTTGACATTGACATTGAGGACTTTATCATTGTCGTTGTTGTTGACATTGACATTGAGGACTTTATCATTGACCTTTATGTTGACATTGACCTTGACAACTTTATCATTGACCTTGACGACTTTATCTTTGACCTTGTTGTTGACATTGACAACGTTATCATAGACCTTGTTGTTGACATTGACCTTGACGACTTTATCTTTGACCTTGTTGTTGACATTGACAACGTTATCATTGACCTTGTTGTTGACATTGACCTAAACGACTTTATCACTGACCTTGATGTTGACATTGACCTTGACAACTTTATCATTGTCGTTGTTGTTGACATTGACCTTGACGACTTTATCACTGACCTTGATGTTGACATTGACCTTGACAACTTTATCATTGTCGTTTTTGTTGACATTGACATTGAGGACTTTATAATTGTTGTTGTTGTTGTTGACATTGACATTGAGGACTTTATCATTGACCTTGATGTTGACATTGACCTTGACAATTTTATCATTGACCTTGCTGTTGACTTTATCATTGAACTTGTTGTTGACATTGACATTGAGGACTTTATCATTGTCGTTGTTGTTGACATTGACCTTGACAACTTTATCATTGACCTTGTTAACATTGACCTTGACGACTTTATCTTTGACCTTGTTGTTGACATTGACAACTTTATCATTGACCTTGTTGTTGACATTGACCTTGATGACTTTATCATTGACCTTGTTGTTGACATTGACCTTGACGACTTTATCATTGACCTTGTTGTTGACATTGACATTGAGGACTTTTCATTGACCTTGTTGATAATTTTGTTATTGATCTTGTTGGTAATTTGATTATTGACCTTTAGCTGGTTGGTGATTTTATTCTTGACATTGTTAATAATTTTGTTATTTATCTTGTTGGTAATTTTATTATTTAACTTGGTAACTTTGATATAGATCTTGTTAACATTGACCTTGTTGACTTTGTCTTTGATCTTTCTTTTATTGGTTTGACCTTGTTTTTGACATAGATCATGTGGTTAAGTTGTCTGTGACCTTTTTGATGACTTTGTTCTTTTTAAATTTTATTTGACTAATTCAAATTAACATTCTTGAAATCATATCTATTACTATTTATTTGATATGTCTTGGACATTTTGAGATTGCTGTTAATATTGTTTTTGACCTTGTTATTCATTGATGTTGACCTGATGTTGTGTATTGTTATTGTTGACAGTAAGGCTAGAGAACAAGCAGAGCTCAAAGGTGAGGAGCTTCCATCGTCCAAAATAGGGGTAACACTTCCCGACGACAACACGAGAACTAGCCACCTCGCAGCTTACGCCAGAGATGTCATCGTCCCAGATGTCTTTAAGGGTAGGTTATGCACAGTACCTCAGTGGGTGGTAAATGATACAAGATTCCTTGTACAACATAGTAAGCTTAGACCTACTCTCTTTTAGATATGATTTTAATTATTATTGATTTAAAACTAAAATAGACTTTCTTCTCATGGGATATGGTGATATATTATTCATATTTTCATTTCCCAGACTTCAAATTAGAGCAAATGACCTAGCAACTGCTCCATGCTTTGAAACACATATTGATAATGATATAAAAGGGGGTTGCTGTAAGGACTCAATCATTTGCTAGCAGGTCCTCTGGAGTAACTGATCCTAAATCATGTACACAATGTTTACAGGTGCTGCAGATGGCAAGACCTATCAGAGCTCAGCACACTTCAAGGTAAGTTCTCCAGACCAACGGCAGTTAGAATGCAAACCTCAAACAATGTACATTACCAAAGAATATATTACGCCTTGGTCAATTTATAGTGTTTGGAATGTTAAATCTCGATCACTGAACATTGCCCCGGAATATTACCATTCTACAGATATTGGTCAAGTTTACAGTATGATGACCTTGAATTGATATGTGATACAGGATATATTGACCTTGTATTGGTCAAAGTTTACTGCTAATGTATGGTGACCTAGAATTGGTTTAAGACTACCAAGTGTATGGTGGTGATGTTACATTGGCCAAGATTTTTGTGTAGTCACCATACACTGTAACAGTGTTTTATTGTTCAAAATCTAGGTGCTTCCTTACTTCAAATTTCTAGTATGTTTCATCTGTCATGTTTAAATGGAAACTTCAATTTGACATCAAATCTCTTACCAGCTTAATTGGAGCATAACCGATAATCCAATGTCCTTAATGTCATTCAGATAACAGCAGATCCATAACAGGCCAGATATGTTTTAGGATGTTGATTTATTTGTTTCCAGTTTGGACATGACCCCACTACATTACACAGTATGTATGGGAAGGACTATGCTTTAGCGGCCATGGCTAAGAGAGGACCTCCTCAGCAGACCCCCACCAAGGCTGCAGGCAATGTAATTACCAACACCAGACATTTCTTAGTCCAAATACTTCAAACTTTGCCACAAAAACATAGGATATTTCACCAAGAATACGTTCCACAGATGTTTTAAATGCCTGCAAATTGGAAGAATTCAAAATAATTTTCACAGAACATTTAAATACTGATACAATTGTAATTACACTTTGTATTCCTTTTTTTTTTAAATTCATTTAATTAAGGCTGATTAATGATAGTGACCAGAGATATGTATTGTCCAGACACTCAGAGGCTTGACAACTGATAAATGTTAGTGACCAGAGATATGTATTGTCCAGACAATCAGAGGCCTGACCACTGATATGACCTACCCACAGATTTAGGCTAAGTTTATACACCTTTTACAAGCATTTATCTGATTATGATCACAGTATTGTATTTGGTCACTTTTGTTAATAATACTCAGTGTTCTTGTTATACCAGGAATATTTGACACTCATGTTTTTTTCTCTCCTCGAAGTGAACACATTTTAATCTGAACAATATTTTTGCAGATTTTACAAAATGATCCTGCATATTCTGCATTTGGTAGCACGAGTAACAACGTGGATTACAGCTATCAGCCTGCCCAGCCCTACAGGGTAGGTACATATATTACAGCTATCAGCCTGCCCTGCCCTACAGGGTAGGTATATTAATTATATATGATTAATATTACCTTCATAAGAAAAAAAAGGTAACATTATTGTGTAAGTTTGCTATTGGTTACCAGTATTTGTAGCTTTTATGCATCACATTCTTTAAGATTTCATTACTGTATGGGATATTTTACAAACCCACAAAATGAGAATTAAAGTTTTTATTTGTGAGACAGGTAGACTGTTAACAAATGTTTTAGTTATAAATTAACCATGGATCATCATCAGACAAGATAATGGAAAAACAAAATTGCAGAGTTCATTTTGTAGATTATCCCAACTATAATTGGAACAAAAAAGATATATGATTATATGGTGAAGGTCACATTGGAGATACATTGATACGATGACATAAATTACTATAGTGAAGGTCATGTTGGTGATATAGTTGGTAATTGTACAGGATTGCTTTTGTTATATTGCTGCAGAATGCAGAGGGGAAAACTCTAATGGAAGTTAATTTGGATAAGAGAGATCACGATAATATCATCATGAGCTACGACCTCAACAGACACGCCCAGGACAGACAGAGGTCATGTAAGTAACATTAATCACCAGGCCCTGTAGTAGTAAAGGGAACAGGGGACAAATGTCACAGGGGATAACCCACAGAAAAGTCTCATGTGGCAACTTAAGTGAGACTGGCACAGCTTATATCTATAAGTAACATTAATTAACAGATTTTTTCTAAGTCCATAGAAAAATGTTATTTTGGAGAGTTAGATGACAACGCAATCGCTAGAACATTTTCCCACTGACCTTTTGATTGCACAATTTAGCTTTCATGTTTTGGGTTTCTTCAATTGGCCGTCCATAATCATAGATCATGGGTGTATCTCTATGCCAAAAATTTATATATATATCTATAATGCCATTTTCATCTATTTGACGTATTAACCATCAGAATCAAGCAGATGTTGTGTTCATACTTAACAGAATAAATCAATTAAGTTAATTATAATTGAACACTTAATAGTCTTTAGCCTTATATTGGTCCTCTCTCCACATTTCATACAGTAATCATGTTAAGTGCCTTATTTAGCTGCCAAAGTTAACCACCATCAGCCCCCTCTCTCTCTCTCACTGAACAGGTTGTTAGACCAAGTACTCATTCCAACTACACACCCTGCCGCACTCAATATCACACAATCCTGGATTCGCTCCATATTCTATATAATGTACACAAACAATATTAATGGTCCCCAGTACATTTTAACTATAATCACCTGTCCACTTTCATCATATCAGTTAATAGAAGATGCATAATAATTCCGTGAGAATGAATCCCCATCAAAACTGGTTGGCCTTGCTAATTATAGCCTGTCTGCACCGTAAGCGGTCGCTCTAGTGCTTCATGTATCTATATATGGCACTATGGCTTACTATGTTATATTTATGGGAACATATTAGCAATTGCCTCATTACAAAATCTTCGATGTGTTCGAATGATGTCTGGGAGACATGGCAGAACAAGGGTTATCTTTAGGTCAGGAAAATTCAAGTTAGATTACTGTGAATATTGTGGAAATTAAAATGGTCCCTTTACCAAAATTAAACAAGTTAAAGGGTTCTGGAAACTCTGGGGATCTCCCTGTGATCAGTAAAAGTTGTCTGAAGGGTTTTAATCCAAAAGTAATTTCTAACATATTGTGCCAGTGTAATGATGAATGACCTCTGTATGAAGATATAAAACCAAAGTGGTTACCATTAACAACAAATTTCAACTGAAAGCCCTTAGGTGAGCAACCATTCTTTATAAGAGGGGTCATATCACTCTCTCAAGCCCGTCAGAAACCATTATCATAAGCAATGACTCAATAGAGAAACCAGCCTCATAACAACTCAATCTGTTCATATGAGAAATAAATCTTCTTTAAGAAATGTCTTTGCTCTGCTTTCAAATGTCATGTTTGAAACATGTTCGTTTTTCATGTTTGCTTTTTGCTTTTTTCATGAACAGTTGATACCATTTGAGTGACAATTATTTGTTACAGTGGCCCACTCAGACTATGTGCGTCCTCCCCCAGGCTTCAAGGCTGTGGGACAGCTGTTTGATGCTGGAGTCAGTTATGATTACCTCACACCCGATGATGCCCTTCCATACCCAGGCCTCAACAAGATGCAGTCAGAAGCAAAGGTTAGTAGTAGTAGGAGATCCCCACCAAATCTCCATAGAGTGGAGGTGGCGTGTCAATCCACACGTCAGAAGTAAAGGATAGTAGTAGTAGGAGATCCCCACCAAATCTCCATAAAGTGGAGGTGACGTGTCAATCCAAACGTCAGACGTAAAGGTTAGTAGTGGTAGGAGATCCCCACCAAATCTCCATAAAGAGGAGGAGACGTGTCAATCCACACGTCAGAAGTAAAGGTTAGTGGTAGTAGGAGATCCCCACCAAATCTCCATAGGGTGGAGGTGACGTGTCAATCCACACGTCAGAAGCAAAGGTTAGTAGTAGTAGGAGATGCCCACCCAATCTCCTTAAAGTGGAGGTGACGTGTCAATCCACATGTCAGAGGTAAAGGTTAGTAGAAGTAGAAGATCCCTACCCAATCTCCATAAAGTGGAGGCGAGGTGTCAATCCACAAGTCAGAAGTAAAGGTTAGTAGTAGGAGGAGATCCCCACCAAATCTCCATAGAGTGGAGGTGACATGTCAATCCACACGTCAGAAGTAAAGGTTAGTGGTAGTAGGAGATCCCCACCAAATCTCCATAAAGTGGAGGTGAGGTGTCAATCCACATGTCAGAAGCAACCCATGAAGTGGAGGTGAGGTGTTAATCCACATGTCAGAGGTAAAGGTTAGTAGTAGTAGGAGATCCCCCCCAAATCTCCATAGAGTGGAGGTGACGTGTCAATCCACACGTCAGAAGCAAAGGTTAGTAGTAGTAGGAGATGCCCTCCCAATCCCCATAAAGTGGAGGCGAGGTGTCAATCCACAAGTCAGAAGTAAAGGTTAGTAGTAGGAGGAGATCCCCACCAAATCTCCATAGAGTGGAGGTGACATGTCAATCCACACGTCAGAAGTAAAGGTTAGTAGTAGTAGGAGATGCCCACCCAATCCCCATAAAGTGGAGGTGACGTGTCAATCCACATGTCAGAGGTAAAGGTTAGTAGAAGTAGGTGATTACCTCACACCTGATGATGCCCTTCCATACCCAGGCCTCAACAAGATGTAGTCAGAAGCAAAGGTTAGTAGTAGTAGGAGATGCCCACCCAAACCCCATAAAGTGGAGGCGAGGTGTCAATCCACACGTCAAAAGTAAAGGTTAGGAGAAGTAGGAGATCCCATCCCAATCTCCATAAAGTGGAGGTGAGGTGTGAATCCACATGTCAGAGGTAAAGGTTAGTAGAAGTAGAAGATGCCCACCCAATCTCCATAAAGTGGAGGTGACGTGTCAATCAACACGTCAGAAGTAAAGGTTAGTAGTAGTAGGAGATCCCCCCCAAATCTCCATAGAGTGGAGGTGACGTGTCAATCCACACGTCAAAAGTAAAGGTTAGGAGAAGTAGGAGATCCCATCCCAATCTCCATAAAGTGGAGGTGAGGTGTGAATCCACATGTCAGAGGTAAAGGTTAGTAGAAGTAGAAGATGCCCACCCAATCTCCATAAAGTGGAGGCGAGGTGTCAATCCACATGTCAAAGGTAAAGGTTAGTAGTAGTAGGAGATGCCCACCCAATCTCCACAAAGTGGAGGCGAGGGGTCAATCCACATGTCAGAAGTAAAAGTTAGTAGAAGTAGGAGATGCCCACCCAATTCCCATCAAGTGGAGGCGAGGTGTCAATCCACATGTCAAAGGAAAAGGGTAGTAGTAGTAGGAGATGCCCACCCAATCTCCTTAAAGTGGAGGTGACGTGTCAATCCACATGTCAGAAGTAAAAGATAGTAGAAGTAGGAGATCCCCACCCAATCCCCATAAAGTGGAGGCGAGGTGTCAATCCACAAGTCAGAAGTAAAGGTTAGTAGTAGTAGGAGATGCCCCCCCAATCCCCAGAAAGTGGAGGCGAGGTGTCAATCCACATGTCAGAGGTAAAGGTTAGTAGAAGTAGAAGATGCCCACCCAATCTCCATAAAGTGGAGGTGAGGTGTGAATCCACATGTCAGAGGTAAAGGTTAGTAGAAGTAGGTGATTAGCTCACACCTGATGATGCCCTTCCATACCCAGGCCTCAACAAGACGCAGTCAGAAGCAAAGGTTAGTAGTAGTAGGAGATGCCCTCCCAATCCCCATAAAGTGGAGGCGAGGTGTCAATCCACACGTCAGAAGTAAAGGTTAGGGGGGGGAGGAGATCCCCACCAAATCTCCATAGAGTGGAGGTGGCGTGTCAATCCACACGTCAGAAGTAAAGGATAGTAGTAGTAGGAGATCCCCACCAAATCTCCATAAAGTGGAGGTGACGTGTCAATCCACACGTCAGAAGCAAAGGTTAGTAGTAGTAGGAGATGCCCACCCAATCTCCATAAAGTGGAGGTGACGTGTCAATCAACACGTCAGAAGTAAAGGTTAGTAGTAGTAGGAGATCCCCACCAAATCTCCATAGAGTGGAGGTGACGTGTCAATCCACACGTCAGAAGTAAAGGTTAATAGAAGTAGGAGATGCCCACCCAATCCCCATAAAGTGGAGGTGAGGTGTCAATCCACATGTCAGAAGCAAAGGTTAGTAGAAGTAGGAGATGCCCACCCAATCTCCATAAAGTGGAGGTGAGGTGTCAATCCACATGTCAGAAGCAAAGGTTAGTAGAAGTAGGAGATGCCCACCCAATCCCCATAAAGTGGAGGTGAGGTGTCAATCCACATGTCAGAAGCAAAGGTTAGTAGAAGTAGGAGATGCCCACCCAATCCCCATAAAGTGGAGGTGAGGTGTCAATCCACATGTCAGAAGCAAAGGTTAGTAGAAGTAGGAGATGCCCACCCAATCCCCATAAAGTGGAGGTGAGGTGTCAATCCACATGTCAGAAGCAAAGGTTAGTAGAAGTAGGAGATGCCCACCCAATCCCCATAAAGTGGAGGTGAGGTGTCAATCCACATGTCAGAAGCAAAGGTTAGTAGAAGTAGGAGATGCCCACCCAATCCCCATAAAGTGGAGGTGAGGTGTCAATCCACATGTCAGAAGCAAAGGTTAGTAGAAGTAGGAGATGCCCACCCAATCCCCATAAAGTGGAGGTGAGGTGTCAATCCACATGTCAGAAGCAAAGGTTAGTAGAAGTAGGAGATGCCCACCCAATCCCCATAAAGTGGAGGTGAGGTGTCAATCCACATGTCAGAAGCAAAGGTTAGTAGAAGTAGGAGATGCCCACCCAATCCCCATAAAGTGGAGGTGAGGTGTCAATCCACATGTCAGAAGCAAAGGTTAGTAGAAGTAGGAGATGCCCACCCAATCCCCATAAAGTGGAGGTGAGGTGTCAATCCACATGTCAGAAGCAAAGGTTAGTAGAAGTAGGAGATGCCCACCCAATCCCCATAAAGTGGAGGTGAGGTGTCAATCCACATGTCAGAAGCAAAGGTTAGTAGAAGTAGGAGATGCCCACCCAATCCCCATAAAGTGGAGGTGAGGTGTCAATCCACATGTCAGAAGCAAAGGTTAGTAGAAGTAGGAGATGCCCACCCAATCCCCATAAAGTGGAGGTGAGGTGTCAATCCACATGTCAGAAGCAAAGGTTAGTAGAAGTAGGAGATGCCCACCCAATCCCCATAAAGTGGAGGTGAGGTGTCAATCCACATGTCAGAAGCAAAGGTTAGTAGAAGTAGGAGATGCCCACCCAATCCCCATAAAGTGGAGGTGAGGTGTCAATCCACATGTCAGAAGCAAAGGTTAGTAGAAGTAGGAGATGCCCACCCAATCCCCATAAAGTGGAGGTGAGGTGTCAATCCACATGTCAGAAGCAAAGGTTAGTAGAAGTAGGAGATGCCCACCCAATCCCCATAAAGTGGAGGTGAGGTGTCAATCCACATGTCAGAAGCAAAGGTTAGTAGAAGTAGGAGATGCCCACCCAATCCCCATAAAGTGGAGGTGAGGTGTCAATCCACATGTCAGAAGCAAAGGTTAGTAGAAGTAGGAGATGCCCACCCAATCCCCATAAAGTGGAGGTGAGGTGTCAATCCACATGTCAGAAGCAAAGGTTAGTAGAAGTAGGAGATGCCCACCCAATCCCCATAAAGTGGAGGTGAGGTGTCAATCCACATGTCAGAAGCAAAGGTTAGTAGAAGTAGGAGATGCCCACCCAATCCCCATAAAGTGGAGGTGAGGTGTCAATCCACATGTCAGAAGCAAAGGTTAGTAGAAGTAGGAGATGCCCACCCAATCCCCATAAAGTGGAGGTGAGGTGTCAATCCACATGTCAGAAGCAAAGGTTAGTAGAAGTAGGAGATGCCCACCCAATCCCCATAAAGTGGAGGTGAGGTGTCAATCCACATGTCAGAAGCAAAGGTTAGTAGAAGTAGGAGATGCCCACCCAATCCCCATAAAGTGGAGGTGAGGTGTCAATCCACATGTCAGAAGCAAAGGTTAGTAGAAGTAGGAGATGCCCACCCAATCCCCATAAAGTGGAGGTGAGGTGTCAATCCACATGTCAGAAGCAAAGGTTAGTAGAAGTAGGAGATGCCCACCCAATCCCCATAAAGTGGAGGTGAGGTGTCAATCCACATGTCAGAAGCAAAGGTTAGTAGAAGTAGGAGATGCCCACCCAATCCCCATAAAGTGGAGGTGAGGTGTCAATCCACATGTCAGAAGCAAAGGTTAGTAGAAGTAGGAGATGCCCACCCAATCCCCATAAAGTGGAGGTGAGGTGTCAATCCACATGTCAGAAGCAAAGGTTAGTAGAAGTAGGAGATGCCCACCCAATCCCCATAAAGTGGAGGTGAGGTGTCAATCCACATGTCAGAAGCAAAGGTTAGTAGAAGTAGGAGATGCCCACCCAATCCCCATAAAGTGGAGGTGAGGTGTCAATCCACATGTCAGAAGCAAAGGTTAGTAGAAGTAGGAGATGCCCACCCAATCCCCATAAAGTGGAGGTGAGGTGTCAATCCACATGTCAGAAGCAAAGGTTAGTAGAAGTAGGAGATGCCCACCCAATCCCCATAAAGTGGAGGTGAGGTGTCAATCCACATGTCAGAAGCAAAGGTTAGTAGAAGTAGGAGATGCCCACCCAATCCCCATAAAGTGGAGGTGAGGTGTCAATCCACATGTCAGAAGCAAAGGTTAGTAGAAGTAGGAGATGCCCACCCAATCCCCATAAAGTGGAGGTGAGGTGTCAATCCACATGTCAGAAGCAAAGGTTAGTAGAAGTAGGAGATGCCCACCCAATCCCCATAAAGTGGAGGTGAGGTGTCAATCCACATGTCAGAAGCAAAGGTTAGTAGAAGTAGGAGATGCCCACCCAATCCCCATAAAGTGGAGGTGAGGTGTCAATCCACATGTCAGAAGCAAAGGTTAGTAGAAGTAGGAGATGCCCACCCAATCCCCATAAAGTGGAGGTGAGGTGTCAATCCACATGTCAGAAGCAAAGGTTAGTAGAAGTAGGAGATGCCCACCCAATCCCCATAAAGTGGAGGTGAGGTGTCAATCCACATGTCAGAAGCAAAGGTTAGTAGAAGTAGGAGATGCCCACCCAATCCCCATAAAGTGGAGGTGAGGTGTCAATCCACATGTCAGAAGCAAAGGTTAGTAGAAGTAGGAGATGCCCACCCAATCCCCATAAAGTGGAGGTGAGGTGTCAATCCACATGTCAGAAGCAAAGGTTAGTAGAAGTAGGAGATGCCCACCCAATCCCCATAAAGTGGAGGTGAGGTGTCAATCCACATGTCAGAAGCAAAGGTTAGTAGAAGTAGGAGATGCCCACCCAATCCCCATAAAGTGGAGGTGAGGTGTCAATCCACATGTCAGAAGCAAAGGTTAGTAGAAGTAGGAGATGCCCACCCAATCCCCATAAAGTGGAGGTGAGGTGTCAATCCACATGTCAGAAGCAAAGGTTAGTAGAAGTAGGAGATGCCCACCCAATCCCCATAAAGTGGAGGTGAGGTGTCAATCCACATGTCAGAAGCAAAGGTTAGTAGAAGTAGGAGATGCCCACCCAATCCCCATAAAGTGGAGGTGAGGTGTCAATCCACATGTCAGAAGCAAAGGTTAGTAGAAGTAGGAGATGCCCACCCAATCCCCATAAAGTGGAGGTGAGGTGTCAATCCACATGTCAGAAGCAAAGGTTAGTAGAAGTAGGAGATGCCCACCCAATCCCCATAAAGTGGAGGTGAGGTGTCAATCCACATGTCAGAAGCAAAGGTTAGTAGAAGTAGGAGATGCCCACCCAATCCCCATAAAGTGGAGGTGAGGTGTCAATCCACATGTCAGAAGCAAAGGTTAGTAGAAGTAGGAGATGCCCACCCAATCCCCATAAAGTGGAGGTGAGGTGTCAATCCACATGTCAGAGGTAAAGGTTAGTAGTAGTAGGAGATGCCCACCCAATCCCCATGAAGTGGAGGTGACGTGTCAATCCACATGTCAGAAGTAAAGGTTAGTAGTAGTAGGAGATCCCCACCCAATCTCCATAAAGTGGAGGTGAGGTGTCAATCCACATGTCAGAGGTAAAGGTTAGTAGTAGTAGGAGATGCCCACCCAATCCCCATGAAGTGGAGGTGACGTGTCAATCCACATGTCAGAGGTAAAGGTTAGTAGTAGTAGGAGATCCCCACCCAATCTCCATAAAGTGGAGGTGAGGTGTCAATCCACAAGTCAGAAGTAAAGGTTAGTATTAGTAGGAGATCCCCACCAAATCTCCATAAAGTGGAGGCGAGGTATGAGATAGTGAGTCAGTCCCCATTAAGTTGGGATGAGGGGTCAATCTACATTAAAAATGGTGAAAATGGCAATCTCAATACAGTGGAGATGAGGGGTCACTCCCATAATGTTGAGGTGACAGGTCAATTTTCATAGAGTAGAGGTGAGGGGGTCAATCTCGATAAAGTGGTAGTGATGGGTTAATTTTCATAAAGTTGAAATAAGGGGGATAAATCTCGATAAAGTAAGGCTGATGGGTCAATTTTTATAAAGGTCAGTTTTCATAAAGAAGAGGCAAGGGGTCAATTTTCATAAGTAGTGGTTGGTAAAGGTCATTCTTCATAACTTAGGGATGAGGGGTCAATTCTCATAAGCAGAGGTTGGTGAGGGTCAATCTTCATAACTTAGGGGTAAGGGGTTATTTTTCATAAGTAGAGGTTGGTGAAGGTCAATCTTCATAACTTAGGGGTGAGGGGTCATTTTTCATAAGTAGAGATTGGTGAAGGTCAATATTCATAACTTAGGGGTGAGGGGTCAACTCCAGTCATGTAGAATTGAGTGGTTAATATTCATGTAAAAATGAGTAAAAGCCCCTCCACTCCTGATGAAATAGCTAGAGGCCATGATTTGGTTACTCCAACCAGCTTCATGTAAGGTACAGAAATAATAATGTATGTTATTTGTTGTCATTGCAGAACAACTACATAGGAACGTTTATGACAGGTGGCCATGCCACTGGAAGACGCCTCCAAAAGGATGCACAGACCAGATCGAGGCTGAGTGACGGCAAGAGCACACATTTTGTGGTGGGGTACAACCCAACGGACTTTACAACAGAAACACAGATAAAATATTTAGGTGAAAAGAAGAATGACCAGGGGCTTAAACCTGCTGGTAAAACTGAGAATGTTGCTCCTGTTAAGTTCACATCTCTGACTATTAGTGAAAACACTCAGGATCTGAGAGCTGCTGACCCCAAAACAGTGAGCAACAACGAGAGTCTGATGGCTAGAGCAGCCTATGCCTCTCCACAGCCCGAACATGCGATGAGGACATCGGTGATGAAGGCAGACTTCAAACCTCTCCCAGAGAGACGGTCAGTACTGACTACTAGTGGTTTAAGTATAAACTGGTTATAGGTGTAACAAAGAAATGTAATTACCGGTGCAATACTCATTTGTTAGCTTTGATTTGTTTTATTTCACCTTATATACCTTCTCCATCAAGAGCCGAGTCAAAGTCAGAGATCCACTTTGTCTTTGACCTTTGGACCCAAATGACCTTGCCCATTAACCCAGTGACCCTGATCTTTGGTCAGTTGACTTATTCTTTAATTCCGACCATTTTTGCTTCTTAATATCATAACAAAATGTTCATCAGTGAAAAATACAACACTTGACCTTGACCCTTTGGACCCAGTAACCTGAAACTAAGGTCAGTTGACTCTGTGTTAAGTTCTGAACAACATTGCTTCATAATGTCATAGTAAAATGTTCATCAGGGAAAAGGTACAAAATTTTAACCTTGACCTTTGACCAAGTGACCTTGACCTTTGGTCAATTGACTCCTTGTTTAATTCTGAGCAACATTGCTTCAAAGTGTCATAGCGAAATGTTCACCAGTGAAAAGATACAAAATGTAACCTTAACCTTTGACCTAATGACCTTGACCTTTGGTCAGTTGACTTGTTGTTTAATTCTGATCAACTTTGCTTCATCATGTCATAACAAAATGTTCATCAGTGAAAAGATGCCAAATTTGACCTTGACCTTTGAATCTCATGACCTTGACCTTTGACCTCAACTTTTTACCTCAGTGTGTCTCTTTGTTTAATTCCGAACAACTTTGCTCCATAATGTCATAGCGAAATGTTCACTAGTGAAAAGCTACAAAATTTGACCTTGACCCCTGACCCGATGACCTTGACCTTTGGTCAGTTGACTCCTTGTTTAATTCTGATCAACTTTGCTTCATAATGTCATAACAAAATGTTCATCAGTGAAAAGATGTAAAATTTGACCTTGACCTTTGAACCTAATGACCTTGACCTTTGACCTTGACTTTTTACATCAATGTGTATTTTTATGAACTGAACATCTTGACCAAGTTTCATGTACATCGGTCAATAAATACCAAAGTTATCAGCCAGGAACAAAGTTTGTGGACAGACAGACAGACAGAGTGATTACTATAGGGTACCCGTATCTCCGATACGGGGCCCTAATAATACACTTTATTTAATAAACAAGTTATGTAAACAAATTATTTCAACTTGCATTAATTACTCTTGTTAGCCCATATGTTGGTGTGTCTTGATGTTGGAGGAAACCGGAGTACCCAGAGAAAATTGTAGAAAACTGAAAACAGTTTAGGATAATAGAAATGTTTGGGAAATAAAGTGTTGGTAAAAGCTTAATAGATCTACGTTGGTATAAACAAAAAGAAGCTATATCTCACCATGGACAATGTGTTGTAGATTTACTGACGCTCAAGTTCGGACGATGAGGGACATGAACACGAAAGTTGGCAAGGAGATTGCCACGACACATCTCTTCCACACCGATAACTCGGGACGTAAGTATTACATTTCACCATTGCATAGCTTTCACACCGACAACCAATGACAACTCAGGACATTAGTGTTACCACGCCAAGTTTGGTTCTCATTGAGCATTGAAAACTTCTGGACATAAGTGTTTATCCTGTAGCAATTTTTAGAAACTGACATGCATATCAATTAATTTCCGCAATCGAGGTTGATGCTAGGATTCATTAACCTGAAGGTGACATATTCAAAAGTGTGTTGAAATATAAATATTTATCACTGTTAACGAATCTGATTTAATTTGGCTTACAGGAAACAACTTCCAAACAACGGCAATGAATGATTTCATCAAACCCGAGACCATGACAGGTAATTATGACTACATGTTTGTGAATAAATGAAGGCTTAGAGCTTGATTTGTAACATGAGTTCCAAATTTCATGCAATACAGATTAAATGCAATATTACTCATTGTAAGTCTACATTTGAAAATAAGTGTTTCTCATAAATCTATGGAAGTCATTATGGCTGATCTCTATCTCATAGCAAACACTTTTATAATTAACTACACCATTACCGCTTTTTTTTCCCTTTTATTTTTTAGGTCAGAAATTTTTGGCTGCAAGGTAATGGTGATAGAGATTGCACGATGACGTGTGTCAGTCTACTACAGTTGTGAGAGAACAAGCAAGGCACACTTCTCAACTGTGGAACACAATACACCAATGTAGTAGTCATTTTAGTCTTTGATATATACATCATGTACCAAGTACACAGAAATATCCTAATATAGATAAGTTGTAAGTACATGAATATTGTGGTATACAATATGGGCCCACACCAGACATCTATCTGTCAAAATGTCTTGTAGTCTGGTGTCAGGGCCAGAGGAAACTCAGGCTACATTGTCTGCTTGTAATGAGCACAAAACTGTCGTGATATATAGATATGTGAATCGAGTACAAACATATTGTGATATTTAGGTGTACGGAGTGCAGGAATATTCTGAAACGGATACACGTGATGAGTACAGAAATATTATAATATAGACAGGAACTGATTAGTGAAATATTGTGATATACATGTCTACGTGTAATGAATATGGAAATATTGTGACTGAGTATAGAAATAACTGATGGTGTACCAATTGTGGAAATATTCCTAAAAATACCTGAAAAAAGTACAGGAATACTGAATACGAGTATGGGATTTCTAATGAATTTATGTGTATATATAGGAACACTGTCATAATTCAAAATTGATTTACCTTTATATACAGATTAAGAAACTCAACTTTTCCGGATCAACAATTGACCTAATATTGATGTGTTGTATGCAAATGCTGTCATAATGTTGTAACTTTATTCTTAGTGTATAGATTTATTTATTCTTTGTTACATCAGTGTTATTATATGTGATGAGAAAATTAACAATAAATTATGGTTAAAGTTTATATTATATACCACCTCAAACATGGAAATATAGAGCTTAAAATGAAATAAAATATGATTTATTTACAACATATTTGTATTTTTTATTCATGTTGTGCACATGTTATAAAAAAATTGGATTAATACACTGAATAAGACCATTTTATTTCCACATCAAAACATATCCGTGGCATAAAAAAATCTAAACTTTTTCAATGGAAATGATTACTTAAGGATCCCTGTCCCACTGCACAGTGATTTTACCTATAAACAGTAACCTCCCCTTAACTTCAATTTAGATGTATAACTGTATGTGTACTAGCTTCCTCAATCGGTCAGAGAGATAGTAAGACAATCTGAAGTCCAGGGTTCGAATCCCGGTCTAGCCCCGTTCATTATTTTACACTCACAACACTGTTGTATATTATGTTTTGTTTATTTCGTCTTTATATTATTTCTCATAAAAGTCCTGAAAAAGTATAGTTTTCTTTTCAGAAATAATTCATCAAAGCTATACAAGTAGTCAAGGCAAAAAAATAGTTTCCAACATTTGGTTACAGTTTTTTGCAGTGGTACAGGAACCCTTAAACTTGTAAGTGAATATTGATGTTTATTTGCTATAACAGTCCAGACTACTTTCAGACTAGAGGATCCTGCACTACGTTCAGATTACATGACAAGCAAGGTTTTCATTCAAGGAAATCCTGCTCAATGCAGGTTCCACCAAAGGGAGGTAACATTGTTTCAAGACAAAGTGATTCTAAGGAAGTATCAAAATAAGCAAAGGTATTCCCAAGTAACTTCTGTTCTAAGTAATTGGTTTCAACTAGAATTGTAAGCCATAGGCTAACTCAGTTCCCGAAAAGAAAAAAATGTTACAGCAATTTTCATTTAAGCTAGGACAGTTCAAACTTTGTAGGGTACTGAGGATGTGTACTAAATTTCATAAATATCGAAGGTGAAGGTAAGTGAATGTACGTCAGGCATAATTTATATAAGGTTGGCAGAAAAGGGGTATAACTCCCATAAATATGGCTGGATCAAAATATTAATTGGTGCACAACTTCAGATTGTGTCAAATACATCAGTTCAGTTTCATGAAATTCAACTAAAAGTTCAGATGGAGCTGTGCTGACAGAATTGTACACAAACAAAGGAACGGAAACCTAATTACTATGTAAACCCCTTTCCCATCCCCCACCCCCAAGTTTGTTGTGAGGGTATGAATAGCAAGGTTTCCACTCAAGGAGATTCTGTGCTGAAGAGGTTCTACAAGGCAATGTTTTCAGACTGGGTGATTCTCTTCCAAAGAAGTTCAACGATAAAAAGCATTTTCTGAATAGACAGTTCTACACTAAGCAGTCTCACTAAATGTTTCAAGACTAGAAAATTACGTTCTAAACATGTTCAACAAAAGTCTTCAATATAGGAGAGTCTGTTTTGAACAGGTTTTCAGTTGCAAGGATTTCAAGGACAGTCACTACAACAAGAGGTCACTAGATACACTGTCATGTTATGAGTCACTACAACCAGAGGTCATTAGATACACTGTCATTTTATCAGTCACTTAAACCAGAGGTCACAAGATACACTGTCATGTTATCAGACACTTCAACCAGATGTCACTAGATACAATGTCATGTTATCAGTCACTCTAACTGGAGGTCACTAGATACACTGTCATGTTATCAGTCACTAAAACCAGAAGTCAGTAGATATTTTGCCATGTTATCAGTCACTACAATAAGAAGCCACTAGATACACTGTCATGTTATCAGTCACTACAACCAGATGTCACTAGATACACTGTCATGTAATTAGTCACTACAACCAGAAGTCACTAGATACACTGTCATGTTATCAGTCACTACAACCAAAAGTCACTTGATACACTGTCATGTTATCAGTCACTAAAACCAGAAGTCAGTAGATATTTTGCCATGTTATCAGTCACTACAATAAGAAGCCACTAGATACACTGTCATGTTATCAGTCACTACAACCAGATGTCACTAGATACACTGTCATGTAATTAGTCACTACAACCAGAAGTCACTAGATACAATGTCATGGTATCAGTCACTTCAACCAGATGTCACTAGATACACTGTCATGTTATCAGTCACTACAACTAGAAGTCACTAGATATTCTGCCACGTTATCTGTCACTTCAATCAGAAGTCACTAGATACACTGTCATGTTATATGTCACTACAACCAGATGTCACTAGATACACTGTCATGTTATCAGTCACTTCAACCAGAAGTCACTAGATACACTGTCATGTTATCAGTCACTTAAACCAGAGGTCATTAGATACACTGTCATGTTATCAGTCACTTCAACCAGAGGTCATTAGATACACTGTCATGTTATCAGTCACTACAACCAGAAGTCACTAGATACACTGTCATGTTATCAGTCACTTCAACCAGAGGTCATTAGATACACTGTCATGTTATTAGTCACTACAACCAGAAGTCACTAGATACAATGTCATGTTATCAGTCACTTCAACCAGAAGTCACTAGATACATAAGTTACCTATACTAATATGTTGAAGTCATAAAATAGAAATAATATTCCATGCTGTCTGTCACAAAAATAAATCCTTTCTATTAGAAATGCTTGGGAATCCTTCTAAGGGGGAACAAGGTTGATAGCCTAATTATTTTGGTGTGATGGTAGGTTTTTTACCCTACAGATATTTTATTATTATCTGTCCAGAGTTACGATGATGCACTTTCTGGCTGAGGTATATGACAGGCGTGATCAATACCCGCACTGGAGGCCGTCTCGTACCGCCAACTGACAGGTTGCTGATCATACCTCTGTTAATGCAACAAATAAACAGCCAAGGTTTCATTTCTATAGAATATGTCGAGTGTCAAACCCTGCTTGTAGTCTGATATGGACAGATATGACAACTATACTTTCACATAACAAGGACACCTTACAATGTGTCAGCCCCTTTAGGTGCTAACCTCCTGTACTCATTTTGGTTCTGTGTCAGTGGGTCACTCGTACAATCAAGCTGATCATATCTAATTTCACCCATATTTCATGTAATATTTCCTAGTTCAGTTACTCTTTGATATCAAAAGAAAAAAATACACTACATTACTAATAATATCCGGAAAACTATTGCAGACAATCTTATTAGGTTTGGTAGCAGAGATTATTGACCTAATTCCACTTTACATAGAGAACCAGACATTCCAGACTTTGGACTTTATACGTATCAAGTCTTGCATTTATTTTGATCTCCTAAGGTTTCATGAAATAGTTTTTCTCAGCAGTGATTTTGTTTTATGGCAGTGATGACATTTTTATGTCACATTTGTGAGGACATGTGAACTGTTGAATTTTCTTAAAGCCAATTTTTTTTTTTAATTATCATGTCTGGCAAGGGATTCAATATTATTTCTACCACAACTGTCCTTGTTTTTAACAACTCTCAGGATATTCCTTAAATATCAGAGAGTTAGATAATCATAAATGTCATTATCAGTTTATTAATACTTCACTTTGAATTCTTTAATTTACTATTTGTTAGATTTAGAAGCACTCAAATTGATAAATTGATAGAGGTCCAGATGGACTGTATTGCCCACCTGGATATACAACCAATCACAGCAAATTATTTTCATCTAAAAGAAAAAACAATATATGTTGAAAATATTTGGGTCCATCTGTCACCACCAAAGGGACAATAGCTTTCCATTACAGGTACATGTATATAACATTTGGTTCCCTTATCTCAAGAATCTCAAACATATTTGAAATATGATCAATTGGTAGGCTTTTAAAGGCTTAAAATCCTAAATAATCACCTTGCCTCACAGGTCGGCTAAACTCACCTTCCTTTATACTGTAATTGACTGGAAGGCCCAATGTTCGTTCAAAGCAAGTTGGGATCCAAATATGGTTATCAGGCCTCGGTTAACGTTATGACCCTGGGACTAAGTCCCTAGGGGTTGAGTCAGAACCAGTGGCCAATCCTGGTAGCATGAATGTACATTTGTAATTGCCATTCTATGCCTAGCAACTGGTGATATGGTTCTGGGGTGGGCATTTCAACTGTTTCCTACATTTTGACCCAGAGACTTTTAAAGCCCCAAAAGGTGGGACTGTACTCCAGCACCAATCCTAATAGCATCATTGTATTTGTCTCTTCATGCCCAGAAACTGTAAATATGGCCATTCCGGAATAGAAGTCTTTTGAAGGAACAGTTGATGCCTGATGGCCACTGAACGCCATGGCATAAACTTACTTGGTTCCTTGTGTTATATAAGCCAGATGACAACAGATGAGTTTTGGTTCATTATCATACTTATCATTAGGGCATAAATGTATTATTCAATCAGCAACGCAGTCATCTTTCATGAAATTTGGTTGCCCAGCATAACTCTGGGAAAAAAGGTTGAACCTGAAAAATAAATATATGAGCAATCAAATGATGTGCTGATCATACATAAACTAGAAAATGTAAGACATGAATGCCCGTAATGTGAAAGTAGTTCCGTTGTTTGATAATGTTCTGTAAATAGTTACAATGCCCATGATCTTGACACCCCGACTATGACATACACACCTATGATATGTCATAATGACATAAACACCTATGATATGTCACAATGACATAAACACCTATGATATGTCACAATGACATAAACACCTATGATATGTCACAATGACATAAACACCTATGATATGTCACAATGACATAAACACCTATGATATGTCACAATGACATAAACACCTATGATATGTCACAATGACATAAACACCTATGATATGTCACAATGACATAAACACCTATGATATGTCACAATGACATAAACACCTATGATATGTCACAATGACATAAACACCTATGATATGTCACAATGACATAAACACCTATGATATGTCACAATGACATAAACACCTATGATATGTCACAATGACATAAACACCTATGATATGTCACAATGACATAAACACCTATGATATGTCACAATGACATACACACCTATGATATGTCACAATGACATAAACACCTATGATATGTCACAATGACATACACACCTATGATATGTCACA